CATATAGCTTACCCTAAGCACACAGCAAGGGAAGCCAACCTAATGTATCTTGGGGCCCCAAGAGTCACATTAGGCCCATTCTGTTTATTAGCTTGATCAGAGCTATACTATTGTAATTCAATCCAAAAGTTCAATTGCACCGTGACACAAATTCCATAAATCATCACATTAAATTGGTGCATCAATAAAACAGTAACCAAAGAACTCAGTGTACCTCATATTAAAACCAATAAAAAGTTTAGTAATAATTAGGGAACACACCTCGATAATAGATTCAAATAGTAGATCTACTGATTGCTGGTTTCACCACGCTCTGCTACAGTTTTCAAACCTATTTTATAATAACACTATATTACTTATGGGTAACATAAATAAATCTCTAAAATCATAAAATTTACGGGTCTTACGGGTGAATACTGCCACACATGGTTTAATTGATCTAGAAGAGCTGGGTCGAGCTGTCGAACGATCCGGAGAGTCTCTTGTACCTTCAAACAATAATAATTTATCAACCCCAAATCTTACTTAATTGTTCAAAGCTAAATTCTTAAGTATATAAGCATTTTTAGGGTTTGACTATCAATTTGGAGGATTTTGGGTTTGAATTTAGCCAAACGGATTGCGGAATCGGAATCAGGACGTCGAAAAACATAAAGTATGTCTTTTCGAAAATTTAAATTCTTGGTCAAATTCAAAGTCAACCACTTTGACCGTTGATTTGGAGGCCTTCGGGTTCGAATTTGGTGAAACGGACTTCGGAAATAGATTCGGGACGTCGAAAACTATTAGAATAGGTATACTCGGAAAATATTTACGGTCGTTTAAGGGTTGGTCAAATCCATTTAAGGTTCTGGTCAAAAAAAGTCAACGGTCAACGGTCGGCGGTCGGGTCGGGTCAACGGTCGGGTCGGGTCGGGTCAGACCGATTCAGACCGATCAAACCGGTTCAGACCGGTCAAATCGGTTAAAACCGGTTCAAAACCGGTCAAACTGGTTTTCCAGCTGCTCACTCTCCCTACGGCGATGCGTGTGGCGCGTGAGACGTCTTCCGGGGCTCTAAAAATCACGGAAAAATTTCTAAAAATTATTTTGAGCGATTTCAAGATACTTACAACGATCGGTTCCAATTTTTGAATGGCGGAGAGCTCGATTTTAAATTGGCCGAAACTTTGACTGCTCCACCTCCTAACACGCCACCGTCGACGGAGACCAAGGTTGACACCGGCGGACTCGAAACGGCACAAGGAACACGATGGTGTAGGAGGTTTCGTAAATGGAGCAACGATCGGCGATGAATTTGAGATTTTCTCGGTGATCAAGCTAAATAAAACGTCGAGACTTTGACTGGAAATTCCCGACGTTTGGCAGCATTTTGCTTCAATTAATTTAAAGGGTTTGTTCCTCGCTCGATGATGAACACAACGGTGATTTCAAAACGACGATCGAAATTCGAACGGCGTCGGAATTGAGGTTGGAAACTGGTGTAGGGGAAAGGGAATTTCTGAATTGGTTTTTTGTGTTTTCACGCAGAAACCAATTCATTTCCTTTAAAAGAAAAACCTGCCGACACTCAAAGGTATAACTCAGGGCTTGGTCATTGAATTTTCTTCAACTTCTAAAATTGAACTTCAAATTTTCAAAACTTTCAATTTAGTCCTCATAATTTACCAATTTTCACAATTAACCTCCAATTTTAATTTAATATTATTCTAAATTTTTCCGGGTTGTTACAACAAATTTCAAAGTTGTTTTACTTGAAACAAAGTTAATCTCACTTGAGATTTTCAACACCGATTCGTCCCACTTGAGACAATTTCCCCTTAAAGAACACAAATTCTTAAATTGATTCACTTGAAAAAAAAATCTTTGAGTCTGTTTCCCTTGAAACAAATTATGTCTCCTTTGAGATAGTTTCTCTTGAAGCATCATCTTTGAGTCGCTTTGAGTCGGTTTCTCTTGAAACAATTATCCCTAAAGATTGCCAGTTGTCCTCATCACGTAGGAACTGTGTCATCCCCCCGACCAGACCTCCTCATCACGTAGGAGCTGTGTCACCCCTAGTTTACCAGACGTCCTCATTGTGTAGGAACCGTGCTATCACCCTTCCTAAAGATGGCTAGAACTCTTCATCACGTATGAGCCGTTTCATCCACCGACTATATCTCCTAATCACTTAGGAGCCGTGTCACTCTTAGATGACCATACCTCTTCTTCATGTATGAGTCTTTTCGTCCCCAACACTAAACACCATCAAATTTCAAAACCAAAAAAGAGAACTGAACAAAACCTAGTTGTCTTTTCTTTCTTTTCCTTATTCTTGTTAACATAAGAATGTGCAAAGAGGGACTGCTGTTGACACCCGTTTTTGTCTGGGTCTACAAAAATATTAATATTATTATTTTTATTTACATTTTACATTTTTTGTGTAGGCCCAAATGCATCCCACTACAACATCAATCCAGGCCCAGTCATCTAACCCAACAACAAAGAGCCAAACCAGATGACACAACAACCCAACATTCAACCTGACCTAGAGGGGAACCTGAATTGACCCGAACCGACCCAAGATCTGACCCAGTTCAGTTGACCTAACCCGAGGTAAATAGGGTTTCACAATCCTAACCCTAGCTAACAACTAGTCGCCGCTGACAACTGTTCGGCTTCCCTATCGACGCGTGAGGCTTCACCGCTCATCACCCTAACCCCCGTTCGAGCCGATTGCTCCCCGTCACCGTTGTCACCTCATTATGCTCAGCCAACAGTGACAATCAATAGTAAAATGACAGATATCAGAAAAATCAAAGAGAAAATATATTTAAAATATCAAAGAAAATCCCATGCTATCCCGATACAATCTCTCGGTAACAATCTCAAGACAAGTCAAAATCCATCAAACCATCAACAAATCACAGAAGCTAACATAAAATCAAAGGAAGAGAACACAGGGAGAGAACGAAGGGGAGAGCCATTCGGTGATAACCACAACAAAAAGAAAAAGAGAGAAATATTTGGGGTTTGAGAGAAGAAAGAAAAAACACAAAAAGAGAAAAGAGGGAAAAATTAGAGAGCATTCGAGGTTGAGAGAAACAAACATCGAACGAAAAAAGTAAAAAAGAAAGGAGAAAGGAAGAAAAAATTTACCTTTTTCATTAGATCTGCTCAAATCTACCCCTATCTCGAAAATCTATCCCTGAATTCATAATGAGAGGGATGAAGCACTTCGGGTGGTGTCCTTTTCTCCTTTGTCCAGTGTCGGCGGATGGCAGTGGCCGCCGGACAGTGACGACCGGTGCGACGGATGCTTGCCGGACTCTGGGAACTTAAGAACTCTGGTTGAGTTCTCGGGAATCCTCTCTAGCTCTCTCTCTTTTGGGTCGAGCAAAGTGAAGCAAAATAGGGTAGTGGGCATGTTTTGGTAGTGAGTTTTCATTTATATATATACAAAGCTCTGAGCGGCGTCGTTTTAAGGAGGACCCATGGAGCAATTTTCAAGCGTGGGATATCTATAAGAAAGACCCTTCGTGGCTTGTAAACCCCTATTCTGGTCATTAATAAAATTTTAGTTTTATTTTATTTTGAGCCCTTATTTTATTTTATGTTATAATCTCGTCCATATTTCCTTTTAAATGTTTTTGGTCTTATTTATATTCTGATCATTGTGTTTTAGAAAACTTATATTTTTGCAATTCATGTTTAGAATAATTCATTTTAGTCACTATTATATGTATTATATCATTTTCATTTATATTCGATTTTGGGTATAATATTTACAAACCTTTCGTTTTAGTCACTACTTTGTATATGGATACTCTTTGGTTTAATTGTTATTTACCTTTTTTATTTTATGTTTCATTCTGATTTCATCCCGAATAATATTTTTGGTTTTATTGTGTTCCTAATGCTTGTATTGTATATGATTTACATTTTACACCATAATTCTTTTTTTTTTACATTTTTGTGCCAAGGAGATTGTTGTCCTTATGATTTAGTCCCCGTTTTTATTTAGTTTTTTTTATGGTTCTTACTATTCTGTTTTAATTTAATCCTTGTATAAGTTGATTTGTATTTCTTTCCATTTTTATCATGTGTGTACATTTATATATGTTTTATGTATGTATATATTTTACATATTTTGTAACTATATGTAAATAAATATGTTTGGTCCTATTTATTGTAAATACTATATTTTGCATGTTTCCAATCACATTTGTTTATATTGTATTTCCTTAAATATTAATATTATCCGAATATTTTCAAGAGCACGCATTTGTAGAAAGGGCGTGGAAAGTATCACTTGATCGAAGTGGTACAATCCGATACGATGCTCGAATGAAATGAGACTTGAAATAAATCTATTTTATTTTATTAATTAAATATTTTTATGATTCAATGCGTTTTTATTAATTTTTTTTATTCAAACATCAAATTTCTTTAATTTATATTCGATTCACGTTTTCAAATCAATGAGAGAATATTATTTTACGAATGAGAAATAGTTGAGATAATTTTCCCGACGGAGGATTACAAATTTCAATATTTCTTATTGAGTAAAAGGATTTTATTTAAATAATTAATTCGAAGCAAATTAATCAATATTCAATTTATGGATCCTAATTTAACTTTATATTCAATTCATATTTTCCACCATTATGACAACGTGTAAGCAACCGAGTACCAATTTTGGGCGCTGTGGGGTGCTAATCCTTTACCATGCGTAATTGACTCTCGAACCCTTAAAATCGAACTTTTGGTAAATACATACCAAATTTTTGTCTTATAAAATGATTTTTCCTAAAATTATTTTAATAGACATTTTTTAGGTATTCGACTTATCTAACCAAAAGGTCGATGACGACTCCTTTCAATTTAATCCAAATTAATTCCAAAACACCATTTTTCAAATAAAAATCATAATTGTTTTTAAAATAATATTTAATTATTTTTTTTAAAAAAATGGTTATCACAGATTTGGAAACCTAAACATTTTGGGAGGCAATCATATGGCGGCACAGATTAATGATTGTACAGTTGAGAGGAGAGTTAGTATTCGGGAAAAGGGTGTCAACTCTAAAGGTGGGTTCAGCTACTAGATATAAAGATGTAGCAGTACGGGGCTTAAGGTGAAGAAGAACTTGAGCTACAAAGCGCCGAGTCGCCCATTACTCGGATCAATCTACAACATCTTCGCTAAATAAGGTCGAGTCAAGTACTCAACATGCTTCCGTATCTGTTGGTCAGGTTGGAGAGTCTACCACGTCTCCCATGGTGAAGAACTGGTTCCGCAAAGATCAGGGATGTTCAGTTCTGAATTGTTTCTCCTTATCTTGATGTTTGATTGTATGTTTTGAAATAGTCAAGGCCGTTGATGATAGCCCTACATATCGTCAGTATGTTCATCAGTTTATAGTCATGTATAACCCCTCCTTAGTGGCTTTGTTGGAAACCAGAGCTAGCGGTCATCGGTCGGAGGATGTTATTTGGATGCTTGGGTTCTCCAACTCTTTTCGCATTGAGGCTCATGAGTTCAGTGGGGGAATCTGGTTGTTGTGGAAGCTTGGAACTATAGTTGAGGTAACTCGTATTTCTAATCAATTTCTTCATGTGTTGGTGGTTGATCCACCCTGCGCCGACCTTTTTTCACAGTAGTTTATGCTAGTCCTAACATTACGTTTTGTAAGCATCTTTGGGACCATCTTAAAGTTTTGGACCCTGGAGGCAACCACCCTTGGGTGCTTGGTGGGGACTTTAATTCATTATTAAACCAAGGAGAGCGAGTGGAAAGCTCAGCGGGTAGAATAATGCCCAGTACTGGCTTCAATGGTTTTCTGGATGATACTGTTATGATGGAACTTGGCTTTCATGGTCCTTTATTTACTTGGTCTAGAGGGTCCTTACACCAGAGGCTAGATCGATATTTGGTTAATGAGGGTTAGTTGCGATGTTTTCTGGAGTCTTTGATCTTTTATCTTGACAAGTTGGGGTCGGATCATCACCTATCCTTTTGAGACTTCAACTGCCCCCCTCTCGGCTTAACCCTCATCCTTTTTGCTTTGTAATATAGTGGCAGGATCACTAGGGGTTCAATGACCTGCTGAAAAATACGTGGATCAATGATAGAGATATCCAGAGTAACTTAGCAGACCTCCAAATGGTTCTTACCGATTGGAATCAAGCTATTTTTGGTAAAATTGGCAAGCGAAAGAGAAGGTTAATGGCTTGCCTGCGGGGATGTGATAATACTTTGATGCAAATGGAATCGAGTTATTTATTGGAGCTGGAAATCAGATTGCGTAATGAGCTTGAGTCTGTGTTAGAGCACGAGGATAGTTTGTGGCAGCAAAAGGCTCGCTGTAAGTGGACCATGGACGGTGATCGCAATACTAGACTCTACCACGCTTGTGCTAAGAACCATCGAAGAAAGAATAACATCCTTTCATTGAAGCACGCGGATGGAAATTGGTGAAAAGATCAATTACGACTCTGAAATGAGACAATGGTGTTTTATCGAACTTTATTTACTTCAAATGGTAATGTAAGTCACTCCTACAGTATGCGTGGCCGGTTTTAAAAGTTTGCTCCGAATGTACTTGAGTCATTGTTACAAGATATTCTTTAGTAGGAAATTAAACGGGCGTTCTTTAATATGCAACCTGATAAAGAGCCATGCATTGATGGTTTCCATGCGTCATTCTATCAGAAAAATTGAGAGATTATTGGGCCAAGTGTGTGCACTTTTGTGCGTGATTGTTTCCAAAATGGGGAAATTCCAGCTGACATTAATCATACTCTTCTTGTCCTTATTCTGAAAGTGGCAGCTTAATTAGGTCAATCAATTTATGCACCGTGCTCTTTAAAGCAGTGACGAAGATAATAATGAATCGGCTCAAACCCTTTCTTTCGAAGTGGATGTTGGAGACCCAAACGAGCTTTATTTTGGGACAAAGTATCTCAAATAATATTGTTATTACATAGGAGATTATCCACTCAATGAAAAAGAAGTAAGGTTGTAAGGGTTGAATGGTGATAAAGATTGATTTGGAGAACACTTATGATCGACTTGAGTGTCATTTTATAGATGATACTTTAACTGATTTGTGTATTCCTCATGCCATTCGTAATTTAATTTTGAATTGTGTTGTGTCAACATTGAAGGGGGTCATTTGGAATGGTGGGAAGACGGATAGTTTTAAGCCTACTTGAGGGATCCGTCAAGGAGATCCTTTATCCCCGTACTTTTTTGTTCTTTGCATGGAGAGACTTGCGCAATCCATCAAAAAGTAGTGGATGACGGTTCTTGGAAGCCAATCAATTATAGCGAGATGGTCCTTCGTTATCTCATTTATATTTTGCGGATGACCTTATTCTCTTTGTTGAGGCCTCTTAATCACATCTTAGGGTGATCAAAAGTATTCTTCGTGATTTTTATGCTGCTTCGAGCCATAAGGTTAGTCTGGCTAAGACTAATATCTTTTTCTCTGGAAATGTGTCTGAACAGGCTCGGAATGGGGTTCCAATTCACAAGGGTCGATGATTTAGCGAACTACCTTGGCGTTCTGTTACTTCACAACATAATTTCGTTTGCTACATATGGGTACCTTCTCCAGAAAGTCCAAGACCGTTTAGTTAGATGGAAAACTTGACATCTATCTTTTGTTGGTTGAATTACCTTAGCGAAAGCGATTCTTGAAGCCATCCCATCTTATGCCATGCAAACTAGCAACCTTCCAAAGAAGATTTGTGAGGCCATTGAACGCTTGATCCACATCTTTACTTGGGGGGATCGGAGGAGAGAAGGGTCATACATCGTTAATTGGGGTGAATTATGCAAACCCACGGGTCTGAGGCATTGGAATAAAGAAAATTCAAGCTCAGAATGAGGCATTTCTCATAAAATTGACGTACAACTTCATTATTGATCATGAGAAACTTTGGGCTCGGTTTTTGCGTTCAAAGTATAAAATCAAGGATTTGGTGTCGGACAATATTAGCAGTAAAGCTTGCTCCAGGCTTTGGAGGGGACTTTCGGTAGTATGGAATGATGTGCGGCATAACATTATTTGGAATTTACGTAATGGCTCGAAAGTCAATTTTTGATATGATGAGTGGTTAGGTAACTTGCCTTTAGTGTAATACTATTCCCCATAAGATGACCTGCCTGTAGGGGGCACTTCAGTTTGTTCTATGGTTACCGCAAGTGGAGAGTGGGACTGGGAACGTCTTTAAGAGCATATCCCTGATATTGTACGTCTTTCTCTTAATGTTGTTCAACCTTTTTTGTTTAATGGGGGCAGGATTTGGTTGGATGGAAACATGATAAATGGAGTAATTTCACTATCTCATCACCATATAGAGAACGAATACATTATGAAAGGGCTGAGGTGGAGGCTCCGTGGATACGATCAATAAATTTCGTGGTCTACCATGGATTAAGATGCTGTTATAGAAAATTTGCAAAGGTCGCCTCTTGTCTAATGAAGAGAGCGCGAGCTGACATTTAAGTTCGGATTCCAGCTGTTCTGTTTGTGGAGCGGCATTCGAGAGTAGCTTGCACATTCTTAGGGAATAGCCTTTGGTTCTAGCTATGTGGAGGGAACTAATAAAACCCAACCTTCTTCAGGATTTTTAAAGTATCGATCTAATGTCATGGATTGAGAATAACCTCAAGCAAACTCATGTCTAACCGATTTTGGATGATGATTGGGATATTCATTTTGGCTCGATGATTTGATGTTTATGAAACTAGATGAATAAAATGATTTTTGATTTGGAGCTCGCTAAAAGTGAGAGTATAATTCAGTAAAGCTCTGACCTCATTGATGAAGTGACCTACACGTTCTTCAGTAAGAAATTGCCGAGGAATAATCATACCACAATGAATCGGGATGAAAATTGGGCAGTTCCACCATCTGGATGACTGAAGTTGAATTCTAATAGAGCGCGAAGGAACTTTTCAAGCTTGACAACATGTAAGGAGTTGTACGCAATCACGAGGCTGAATGGGTGTGGGCTTTTCCCAGCAAATCAGATATTGTTCGGTGATCGATGCAGAGTTATGTGGAATCTACACAAGACTGCATACTGCGTGGGAGAGGAACATTCGACAGATTATTGTTGAATCCGATAGTAACGATGCCATTGCAGTCCTTAAACGCCAACCTAATGTTGAAGGAATTTCCACGTTGGTTCCACATATTTATTCTTTGGTGGAGCGAGATTGGAATTTTCAATTCAAGTAAATATCGAGAAAATGCAACATTGTTGCTGATAGTTTAACGTACTTAGCCTGGAGCCTTCATACGATTTATCTTCATTTCATGGAGGCACCTGCAAGGGTTTTAGATCAAGTCCGTAAGAATGCTTAAAAGCTTTGCTCTGCCCTCTAATAAAAAATGTATCAACCACTGCTGTAAATTCATTTAAAATAATGTACATTATTAAGTATTTTCCACTTCATGTATACACTATAAGTGCCATTAACGCATACTTTCATACAATACATGCTTGTAAATTCATATACATTATCATATATGATCATGTAAATCATGTAAAGTGCACTAAAACAATGATCAAAATCATGCTGTAATTTTTTTAAAACAGATGTATTTCTAATACATGCACACTAAAAACTAAACCAGTAAGAAACCACTTATTAAAAAAACATAATACATGGATTTAACCTATTTCTAAGTCCCCAAGTAACATTCTGAGTTGCATAAACCTACAGCAATCTTGAGCACTTACCAATACAAATTCATCTCTCCGTTGAAAGCTCAAATGAACTTTTTCTTTTCTTTTGAATTGTTTGAAGAAGCCACAAATAGATTCGATGCTTCAGTATACCAACCACCTCATACAACTAACTGCTTGAAGATTATACAGTTGCTGCAGGAAAGAGTCATATAAATTCTTGGCTCACCTTCGTAGAGTGGTCGAGAAAACCTTGCATTTCAGCTCATCAAAGGCCCCTATGATATCTATGTAGTTCTTATACTAGGATAGGCGCTCCGTGGGGTCTCTAGTCTCATTGTAGGTTCCTTGGGCAACTTGAAGTGCAAGGGGAGGGAGGCTGCCCACATTTTGTGGGTTCACAGGTGATGAGATTCTCAAATAGTGGGACCCAAACCCAACAAATCTCCCCCCTCCAACTATGTGGAGAATACCTCTATGCCGACGATCAATAACATTCTTCAAAGTTTCCTTTTGGTAAGGCCTTGTCAACATATCAACACCATTATCATCAGTATGCATCTTCTCAAGCTCTAACAGTTTAGCTTCAAGAACATCTCGTATATAATGCTACCTCACGTCAATATGCTTAGATCTAGCATGAAAAGTTGAGTTCTTACCAAAATGAATCATGCTCTGGCTATCACAATACAAGACATACCTCTCCTGGATATAGCCAAGTTCATGCATGGATTTCTTTATCCAAAGCATCTCCTTGCACGCTTCAATTGCTACAATGAACTTCGATTCTATGGTGGACAATGGAACATATTTTTACAATCTCGATTGCTATGCCACAGTCCCCTGCATAAGTAATCAAGTAACTTGAAGTACATCTCATCGAGTTAATGTCTCTGGCCATGTCTGAATGTGTATATCCAATAAGAACATGTTTCTAAATGTTGAAAAAAAGTTTGAAATGTTGTGAAGATATCTCATAATCCACTTCACTGCATTCCAATGCTCTCTACCTGGATTAGAAAGAAATCAACGGACTATACCAATAGCATAAACCAAGTCTAGTCTCATGCATACCATCACATACATCACACTACCCCTGGCTGAAGAGTAATGATCTTTCTGCATCTCTCCCTTCTCTTTTTCTGTGGAAGGACTATGTAAAACACTCAATTTGAAGTGCATAGCAAAGTGAGTATTCATCACTTTATCTTTGTCCATACTAAAACTTTGAAATACTTTCTCAATGTACCTCTCATGTGATAACCACAATTTTTTGAACTTTCTATCACGTGTCAACCTTATGCCAATAAATTGCTTTGTTGGCACTAAATCCTTTATTACAAAGGATTTACTTAACTCTTGCTTCAATTTTTTTAATTCTAGAAGCATTATGACCAACAATAAGTATATCATCAACATAGAACAAACGGATAATAAAATAATCACCAAAAAATCTCTTAACAAAAACGCAATGATCTGAAGTAGTCTTCTTGTAGCCTTTCTCCCCCATAACACACTCATACTTCTTGTACCATTGCCTAATATCTTGCTTCAAACCACACAAGCTCTTATTTAACTTGCACACATAGTCCTCATTTCCTTGTGCAACAAATATCTCTGACTTCTCCATGTAAAACTCTTCCTCCAAATCACCATTAAGAAATGCAATTTTCACATCCATTTTTTCAACCTCTAAGTCATAACAAGCTACCAAACTCAGTATAGTTATGATAGAGGATGTCTTCACAGCCGGAGAAAATATTTCTTTAAAATCAA